ATTAAGAACAATCTGACAGCAACCACAGGGGAGGTGGGAGGGGATAATGCAGGGAAGGATTTTCAGGAACCACTATAAAGGACACATGGACAAAACCAAGGGGGAGGGTAGAAGCAAGGGAGGGAGGTGGGTTTGGGTGGGGTTTGTGTGGAAAGGTGTGTGGTGGGAATGGAGACAATTGTAACTAAACAACAATAAAATAATTTTTAAAAATGGAAAAAAAGGCCCTGGCTGGTGTAGCTCAGTGGATTGAGCATGGGCTGTGAACCAAAGTGTCGCAGGTTTGATTCCCAGTTAGGGTACCTGCCTGGGTTGCAGGCCATGACCCCCAGCAACCGCACATTGATGTTTCTCTCTCACTCTCTCTCTTTCCCCCTCCCTTCCCTCTCTAAAAATAAATACATAAAATCTTTAAAAAAATGGAAAAAAAGCCACATAGATTTCCATTTTTCAGTGTTTTTTTTTCTTATTGTCAAATAACATATTCTATGATTACAGAGGCTACTTATGCAAAATATTTTGACTGGTCTGGTTTGTGCATAAGTTGGAGTCTACTGTTATCACTGACTTATCACTGAAAGGAACCTTATAAGAATCTGTGTTTATTATGTCCCATTGTCCGTAAGCCATACATCTGACAGACAACTTCCTCAGATAAAGGGCTGTTGACTCTAACCTAAATTTCAAGACAGTTGGATTGGTCGCTGATAAAGGGTGATGAGATTATTCAACCTGTAATGAGAAAAGAAATGTCAAGTTGAGGCTGCCTTCTTTGTTATTTACCTAATCTTTGGTATTTACCTAATCTTTGGTATGAGGATCTCTACTTGGGTAATTTATTTTGGTTTTGCTATTGTTATTTTATTCTATTTCCAAAATGATGCAATAGAATCTAAGTTACAATCTTAGTGCTTAATTGAAACAATGGTGATGGTGATGAATTTATGCATGATGTTAAAGTACATGATGATATAATGGATGTTAGGGAGGCAAATGTATGAAATTGCCACTGATCACCATTGAGGGGTGTGTATTGGTGTCACGTAACTCATGTTGGCCTTACATTAAAACCAAGTTCAGTCAGGAAAGTTTGAAGAAATTGGCTGGTACAGATCTGAGCAGCACTGTAGGCATCAGAGATGACTCTCTCTTATTGGACATCAGGTCTAGATCAGTAAAATTACTTAGTCTTTCACCACAGATCTTCTTCATAGAACTCCCAGTTCTCAGTACAATATGTGACTTTAGAAGTGGGCTGGCAGATAGACAACCTGGTAGTGTAGAAGGCATTGAATACACACTTATAAACTAGGTGAGGTATGTTCTGGAAGAATGTATTTATCAGTGGCCCTGTGATTCTATCTTATAACTAGAAAGGGGTGGCTGGACACATATGATTGCTGTGGTTAGACTCAAGATATATAGACTCAAGTTTTTGTGTTCCTGTTCATGAGAGAATTTAAATATGACATTTTTTTGTGATCTTGATAAGACTAAATAACATGAATATACTACTAAGCCCTGAGATTTAATAGAGAAGCAAATATTACTGGACCCCAGCATTTAAAATAAATGGAGTAATCTGTGCCCATATCAGAAAGCATTTCTATTCCAAATATTCTCTGAACACGACATGATAACTTTATAGGCTGTGTGGGAAACCATTTGTGAACTTCAGTCTTCAGTGTGTCTTTTTTTGGCCTTGCTCCTGAATGCACTATTAAAAAACTAACTTTGTTTATCTAGGTTACTCTACCTACCTGTTATAGGTGTTATAGCAAGCTACCAACTTAGCATTTGATTTTCCTTGTAGTTAAAATTATAACTTTCAAAATTCAATTTTTATTTTTATTTCTATTTCCCTCTCTGGATGTGGTTGTATACTTATACATTTATTTATTTTTTTCTACACAATGGTAAGGTTAATTATTTACCTGTTTTATTTTCCTTGAATTTTGTGTAAAAATTGTTGCTTGGTAATCAAAATAATAGAGATGTGATCAGATCACTGGGGAGGACTAGGGAGGGGCTGTAGGATGAGGTCGCTTGAAGCAATAGTACACAGTCTAGGACAGGATTGGCTGAGAAACTGAATGCTCCGAAGTGCATGGAATTATGGTCCAGAATACTTAAAATAAAAGAAGGGCAGAGACTGGCTCTTGGGCCCTCCAGGAAGCCTGGATGATCCTGCTGCAGCTTCCTGTGTTTCCCAATGGATAGATTTTGGGTGGAAGGTACTTTGGGCACAGCCTAGGATCAGCTGGCCTGGCAGAGGGTGGCAGGGTTATTTTTCCTTGGATGTTGTAGAGGGCTCGAGCTCTGAGGCAGAAGCTTGCTATTCTTTCAAAATTGTGTAGCTTTTGTATCTTATGTTGTTTTAGTTTGTAAACTAATCTATAGAAATACAATAACTAAAAACTAACGGGGAATGCTAGGAGAACTCAGCTATTGAGGATTTTAGCCTTAATCAATAGGTTTAAGTGATTAAAGCTGTAGGTGACTAATGCATGTGGAAAGCTGTTATTCCAAAATTGTGAAGCTTTTGAATAGACTTCTTTCTTCCATCACTAAACCTTTGCCTCCAGAATTTTGCTTGGGGGATGGCATTGGGCAGCAGGACCCCGCTTGCTGTCCAGTAACAAAAGTTTGGTAACAAAAATAGCCTTTTAGTAGGAACCTTTTTTTAACCTGTCTCTTATCTCTGGGCATATATAAACATACAAACTATATCTGAGCATTTTAACGACATTTTTCTTTTAATTTCCCATGTGTAAGGATATTTAATTTTTCTCCTTGTAGGTAAGCAAATTGGGAAGAAGATTATTCCTACAAGAATATATAATTATTTAGATACGTTTTCCCTAAAGAGATGTGCCTAGGTACACGTGAAAACATGGCTATATTGTTACTATTGATTTACATTCCTGATTTCACAAACTGTCATATTGCTTTCTATAAAGTTTGAGGAATTAGAATAAAGTATAAAGGATTTTATTAGAGAAAAGGAAGAACACGATACATGCTTTATCCCCTGCACTTGCATGTGATTTTTAAATGACAAAGCACTTTCACATACATTGTCATATTTGATTCTCAGAGAAACCCTATGAAGATGATTACTCTCACATCACACATAAGCATCCAAAGGCTCATGAGAGGTTATGAGAGAGAGGCTTAGGTCTAAACCTAAAGTTCTTGTCTAAGTGTGAGTTCCTCGCCCAGCATCTTATAACTTCTCTTTTGTAAAGCAAATCAGAGGAGCAGTTGTAATCTGATTATTCTTATGTAATGTTTAACATATTTTATTTTCAGTTTAATTTTTTTCTTTTATAGTTTTATATCCAACCCATTTGAAATGAGGCTTCATACATTATTCTGTATAATACCTCCCCCAAATACTGCCTCATAATGACAGGAAAAATTTAATTTTATTCATTGATTTATTATTTAAAATCCATAATAGAGTATTATTGGGAATAATTATTTCTTACTTCTGTTTTCATGTGGAGGGATTAGCTGGACTATTTTGAGCTTTCTCCCCACTGTCTTTCACTCCTTATCCCTGAATGAGAAAAAAAGTTTTCAGGTTAGTGAGTTTGATAAAAGTAGCTGGTAGACCATGTGCGATTTTTAGCTGGCAGGGCCTGCCCCTAAGGTGTGTGGAAATAATTCAGCCCTGCATTGCTGGGAAGGTGTGGTTAAGAACAGTGTACTGAATGGAACTCACTGAATCACACATCTAATGAACACTTCTGTTTGCCTGATTTCCCTATCTTCTCATCAGATAGCCCCAGCTTACTAGAGGGAGGAGGATATTATGAATTGGGTCCCTTCAAATCTCAGCATCTTAAGACCCAAAGAGAAAGAATATCTTTCCTTTCCCAGGAATATATCCAGTTTTATTTATATCAAACCTTCATTATTTTTCCAATATTCTATGGCACAAGTTATGACTGTACATTTTTGGCTAATAAATTCATGTCATTACTTTTTATTATATTATAAATATGATACATTTTCCTTTCCTTAATGTTATATAAGAGAGTGATTATCTTAAGGTATATGTAGTGGAGTTTGTTCTTGACTTTTTCTGTTAGCTGCTTTATAAAATATAAGCAGTCGTGCTCAATGTGTATGTTATATGAGGGCCTTGGAAAAATCTGAAAATATCACAAGATTTCTACAGTATAACAGCTTAATAGCATTTCAACCATATAAAAATTTCCACATAATTTGAGACACTAGTTTCCCAGAGAAGTGAAAGGCATATCATATTTTAATAATTTATATAGATTACTATATAATGCAAATTTAATTATTTTCTTAAGGACATAGTCTTTATAAATATAATTACTTAATATATAATATAATTAATAATAGATGAGAAAATAGGTCCATTTTTAGAACTTTCATGAACAGAAAAGACCCATAATTAATGTTTTTCCCAGAGTGATGGAACCAATGATATTTAAACTGTAGAATTAGAAATTATAGAACTGGAAAGAATATCAAGAACAACACATTTCTTTTACCCCTCAAATGCTGGGAATGCAAGAAAGGAATCTTAGGGTTCATCTAGATCCAAGAAATGTAAGAGTTATCCAAAGTCATGTGACTAATTAATAGAAAATCCTGGATGAGAACCATGAATCCTGTCCCAGTGTTCTCCCACCCTCCAACACCCAGCTGTTAGATCTCATACTCAAAATGCACAGTAACTTACAAACTTCAGCATAGTGTGTAAAACAATCCATTACCAATGTTCCTCTTACATTTCTGTTTTATGTTTATTCCCTTTCAGAGGGAGAAAAGACAATTGGGACTTTATTCTCAAATGCTAAGAAATCCCCATGTTTTCTCAGAAAATATATTAACATAATATATTTGTGTGCATATACAGATTTTATAATTCTTATATTCTCCAATATCCCTCCCTTGATATTCTTGTTGAAGTAATAAATGGTTAATCAATTTTTGTTGCTTTTGCTTTTGCTTTATAGAATCTGTCTGTCCAACACGAATTCCAGTGGCAGCTCGAGATGAGAAGGGGTTTGATATTCTTTTAGGCTTGGGTGTAAAGAAAAAGGTTAAGAAAAGAATCCAGCTTTTACCAACAAAGATAAAAGGATATGAAGTAACATCAAAAGTTGACTTATCAGAATTCACAAGGTAAATGTTATGTGTTGATGCAATTGTTTCTGGTGTATCTATAGGTATATTGAGAATTCTTTAAACCTTATTCATGTTCTTCTTTTCCTAGCAATGTTTTCCCAGAAGGTCTTCCTCCATCATATGTATTTGTCTCTACTCAGAGATTTAAGGTCAAGAAAATGTGGGATTTGTGGAGAATTTTAACCATTGATGGAAGGCCACAAATAGCAGTTACCTTAAATGGTGTGGATAAAACTTTACTATTTACAACAACCAGCGTGATTAATGGCTCACAAGTGGTCACTTTTGCTGACCCTCGAGTTAAGGTAAAGATGTCTGGATATGATTATGGTATTTATGAAGAAACACTGTTGGGTTTATGTGTATTGGGAGAAGAGAGCTATAATTTTACATTTCTGAAAAGATATCAACTTCACCTTTTAACGTTGCTTTAACAAAGGAAGGAAAATTGTTTCTTAATCCATAGGGAATTTAGGGGTGGGGGGAACTAACATTTTTTCAAATGTCTACTTCTAGTTGCCAGGCACATTTAATTATAACCACTCAAGGAAAATCTGTTGTTCCCATTGTGCAGACAAAGAAACCAAAGTTCAGAGTTATTAAGTTCCTACTCAAAGTAACAGAGCTAGTAGGTGGTGACTAGAGAAATTGAATTTTGGTCTGGTCATTTTCAAAGTTTATATTGGTCTGTTTTAGATTGCTATGTCTTATAGGATATTGAAATAAAGACATTTGTTAAAACATTAAATACAGACAGATAATGGATGCAGGATTCATATTCAAGGATATTTTATTTCTCATAAAGGAGTATATTAATGAAATCAATAAACTAAAAATGAAAGTGTACTCTTTTTTAAGTCATGTGTTCAGAATACAGATGTGATGATAACAGCAATTAAGTTTTGATCATTATAATTATGAAAGTCTAATATAGTATATAACAGGAAATGTATGAGGTTATATATGAAATTATACATTTATATAATTTCTTCATTTGGTAAATTACGTTTTTGAAAATTTGTTGTCTGCCATTTTTATTAAAGGCAATGTGCCAGATTCTATAAAAAGTGACAAATGACTAAGGCCTGTTTCTTGCCTTCAAGGAGCTTATTTATAATGAGAAATTCAAGGCTTCTGATATTTAATGGAAGAATATCATGTTAGCAGAGTTTGGAGGGGAAAGTGGATTCTCATACAAAATATGAGGAAATATTTATAAGTGAAATTGTTTTTGGACTGACCTTCAAGGATTTTGATAGAGCAAGAAAAGGACATATTAAATCAGTGGTTCAGTACTGAGTAGTCATGTGTGGTACAGTTCAGGGTTTCTATTTAGAGAATGGAAATTTGTATCCCCTGTGTGTGGAGTGTAGGATACATAAAAGAAGATGCTAGCGAGGTATGAGATCAGATTGTGGGGAGCTTGAAAGCCATGCAAAAGAGTGTGGACATCATTTGGTGGATGACAAGATCCCCTTTAAAGGTCTTGGCCATAGATGTGCAGTAGTCAAAGCAATGCTCTCCTCTCTTTTTCTTTCTTCTTTCATGAGCAATACTTTCAACTCTGTCTTGGAATTGTGTTAGGTCCTGGGAATACAGAAAGTAAGATAGGCAATATTCTCTGCCAAAACTCTAGGGAGATAGCTTAGTGGAAGTAGGAAGAACAGTATGCAGAGAGGAGGGTTAGAGATAGAGATATGTTTAAAAATTAGTCAAATAAAGCAAGACACTCATGAGCCTAAATTATGGCAGTGAGACTGGGCTGAACATGATGTGAATTTCAATCATGTTTAGGAGATATATTTGGTAGAACATCGCGTCTTGCTGTTATTGACACTGAGGGAAAAATGGGAGGTAAAGAAACTTGTTTTGGTTTAGAATCTGAAGATACTATGATTTAAGGGAAATAAGGATAAGAAGAAAGTTCGAGGGATAGTTCAATTTTGTTTTGTAACATATTCTGTCAGACTAATTGTGAGACATCCTGGCAAAAATTATTCTAGCCACTATTAGAATTATAGGCATCACATGCTGATGTCAATATGGGAATTTTTCCATAGAAGTAGTAATTGACCTGCAGGAATGGATGAAACAGTCAAAGAAGAATAAAAAATGTTGAGGACAGCCCTGTGGAGAATGCCTCATTAAAGGGAAGGTTGAGGAAGAGGGGTCCTCAAAGAGAAATAGTGTGAGCAATTGGAGAAGAAATATAGATAATCAAGATAGTATGAATCATTGAAGTTCAGGGAGGATATCAAAGAGGAGGGACTAGTTGTAGAGTCCAACATTGCAATGAAATAAAAAGGATAAGGAATGAAAAAACCATTTGGATTAAAAGATTAGGAACTCATTTGTGACCCTGAGGAAATCGTTTGGCACAACTGTTTTGGGATATGTAATAGAAACTCTAGAGTTTAATAAAAAAAATTGGTGGGGGGCATTGGAGGCCCAGCTTGGGTCAGAGTGAATTTGATTACAATACAGCTGATTTTTGTACTTTAGATTTATGGTTGGCAGCAAAGGAATAAGAATTAAGAAATAAAGGTAGGCTAGGAATTTTATTTATGGATCTTTTATACTTTCTCTCTACAGACATTGTTTGATGAAGGCTGGCATCAAATTCGTCTCTTAGTAACAGAAGAGGATGTAACTCTGTATATCGATGATCAACAAATTGAAATCAAACCCTTACATCCAGTTTTAGGGATCTTTATCAGTGGGCAGACCCAAATTGGAAAATACTCTGGGAAAGAAGAAACTGTTCAGGTGATTAATAATGATTTTTTTTTCTTTCATTATATAAAATGGAGCCTTTGCTGCCCTTTCTGTATTTAACTTAATTGTGAATTCCTTTAAGGTACTTAATTAAAATGTGGTCAGGTCATTAGTGAAATTGTGTGTTTGTGTGTAAGTATGAAAATGTAAAATTAGGTTTAGTGTATTTTATAATAATAATACTTAGCAAGATGTTCCCCTTGGTTTAGGGTAGAATTCTATATTCTGATGAAACGTTAATTTTATATTTCCCAGGAGAGGCATAGATTAAATAATGAATTTGAAAAAGGAAATGTGGTTAGAGCTGTAAGTGGTGTTACAAACATTTCTTTGTAGCTATGAAGATAAAATTAGATTAATGCATGTCAGGGTTCTTCATGACCAAAACCAGCTTTTTCAATACCTCTTTAAAGTGTAGTATGTACGTGTAGGCTGACAAGTGTGTGCATAAAAGCCATTTCTTATAAAGCCCTTTATTGGAAAGGCATGTCTTTCCTACTCTGTTTTTATTAAGGGAAGACTCACATTTAAGTGTGTGATTGCACACATGGTCTCTATATGTTAATGTTACATGTCATGTTACAGTAAGTGTTTAAATAGTAACAGATGCTGGGCCTGCTACAGCATTCTGTGCCAATAACTAAATATCTGTAACTAAAGATGGTTCCTAAGCCACCTATTCTGAGTGTCCTAGGAAGTTTCCCTAGACTAGCTTTTAATACAGGATACTAAAAAGCTTCACTGGGTTCCTGAAGGAAACCAGAGATTTGTTTTTGGAGCTAGGGAAGTTTCCTTAGGAGTTATGTTGCATTAGATCTTTAACACTATATGTGAGGTATTCAAGTTTTATATTCAAGTTTTAGCTAAATGCGGTGATTTAAACTTTCCATAATTGCTAACTATAGTGGCTGTTTCAGTGTATCTGAGATGTTCTTATAAAAGAATTAGTATGTGTCTCAACTCTAGCTTCACTGGGTTTCTGTTCCTAGTTTGATGTCCAAAAGTTGCGAATCTACTGTGACCCGGAACAGAACAAACGGGAGACAGCATGTGAGATTCCCGGATTTGTAAGTAGGATGGATTATTTTTCCTAAATGGTGCTTCAGTACTATCAAATAAATAAATAGAGTGTAGATAATATGTGTTGCTTAATTTGATATATAGTTAATTTTTTTCAATTTTCAAAGGAAATAAAGTTTCATTAATTAAGATATATTTTGAAGTTCTTAGTTGAAATAAAATTTTAATGTTTCACCTTGTAATATGAGTGAAAGATCACAAGAAACTATTTTTCCCACATCATCTCTGGTTGTGATTGGTCCAGTATCACTTGAAGCAGGACTGAGCTTGATCTAGAAAAACAGGATTTTTTTTGTCTGAATATCTAGTGTGTAAAATGCATTATTATTTTTAATTAAATGTATAATTATTATATTATACAGCACAGTTCTGGAGTAGGAAATGATTCATTTTCCTGCTCACCAGCATGTTTTCTCAAACTATAATGAACACATAGTTTTCTTTTTGTTGTTTTTGTTTTACATAAGTAAGGTTTTCTTATACTTCTAGGATGTAAGCAATATTTCTGTTTATTTAGCTATTTTTATTACTGTGTTAAGAGGGAAAAGATTATAAACTAAAATGTTATGGGGTCTGGTTATATACATGAATGTATACAATCAGTTTCTTCTCCCTTAGGCAAAATATGGTGTGTAGTATTGTCACTAATTCAGATAAAGTGGAATGTTGTAAAAGTTTTTGATGTGGATTCCCAGTAGTATTTGAGCTTTATGTGTTTTTTTTAGTCATGCTGTCATAATCTCCTTTTTCTCTATTAATATGCATAATTTATGAATCCACATGTTCTGAAATCTTGAGGACATAGAGCAACATAACTAATGGATCTATAATAAACTCAAAGATGGACTTAAAAATGATTCATTATGAGTATTCTAGATAGTAATTATTTAAGCTGTAAAACTTTTAGATGCTGGTAACTTAGAATATAAATCTCTACTAAAAGTATTAATGGTATTGCATTTTGAGAGTCCACTGTACATAATTTATTTATTGTGACCTCTGCCTCATGATATAACCATTACCATTTCCTTTCCATAGAGCAGAGGCATAGCCTTATTCCGTGGCAGGTTTTGAATTCTCATGTTCAGTGTCTTGTGTTTTTATGTCTCCTTCCTTACTCTCGGCTGTGACTTTGTGAATCCTGTTTGCCTCTTGTACCTTCACTTCTACCTTCTTATTTTCTGATGTAATTTATTGTTTGGAATGATTATTAACCTATCTCAAACTGTGTGTTTTTTGCTAAGAAAGAGATTGTTTCAGGAGAAACTGTCCTAGAGTGCATAAAATTTAATTCTTGCAGTTTATGGCTTGGTTAGATATGTTCTGGCTTTTCTCTCTGATTCTTAACTGATTTCCAGTAAGTTCAAGACAGCATATAAATCCCACCTTGAGGTATTTTTGTTTCTGCATGGGCATTATATTAAGCAACTTTAGCATTTTAATTTTCTTCTTCTACTAGTCATTATGTGAATTTTCTTTATCCTATTATAAATGTAGTAATAACGTATAAGTAAGTAATTTTTTAGGATAGTTGAAAGCAAATATCTTGCTGGTTTTGATATTTCAGGCATCTCTAACTAGACAATGAAATATCTGAAAATTAGGAAGATAATTTAGAAATTTAATTAAAAACACACTTTCAAACACATTTGTTGTTGTTTGTCTTTCAGAATGGTGAGGTAGGCCTGGTTACTATTGTTCTCCTTAAGGTGATATTTGCATTATGGGACTGGTTAGCTTCCTTTCATCAACTGTAAGTATTTTAGACAAATTACACCCATTTTTTATGGAGTTTGAGTGTATGTTGTGTTCATAGCTTTTTGTGATTAGGAATTTGTTATTAGATTAGGCTAAATAAAATTGGAAAGTAAATGTAAGTTATCTTCATCTTTTCACATAAACATATATTCATATACATATGCACATATATATACACACATACATATGTACTTTTCCATGTTTGTTTATTTCATTTTTTGTCTTTGTAGTGCCTCAATGGTCCCAGCGATGTAGGTTCAACTCCAGCTCCCTGTATTTGTCCTCCGGGAAAACCAGGACTACAAGGCCCCAAAGTGAGTAATACCTAATGTGCTAATTTTTGTTAAAACACATTAACAAGCTGAGCAAATGTGTAGAATTCCCAGTCACCATTGACCCTGTTGTGAAATTTTCACCTAATGTTTCAGAATAGTTCACACCTTGAGTGTTAGTGATTTTTTAAAAAAGTGTATTCTAATCTGTATTTGCCTTTGAACCTGAAACTGATACCCCTAGCCCACCATAGAGTGTGGAGGGAGCATTAGTAGTTGCTTGCTTGTCTGTTTGCTTCCCCGCTGCCCCCTCCCCCACCTCGCCCCTGCCCAACACTGCTGCTAGATTCCAAGAATGTTTCTTACAACTTGGTACAAAATGAAGAAAGAGTACTTGTTAAGATATGTTTTAAATCCTTAAATTTCTAAATTCTTAATTTGTCAAAAAGATTTTCAGATAGAAAAACCAAGTAAAAAATTTAAAATAGATTTGAACGTTGTGTTAGATACCTAATTCTAAAACTAGAGGCACATGTTTATCTCACTTAATCATGTAACACTTATTTTGGGGAAGTGGGATTGCAACTGTGAAGCGCATGCTGTTTTACAACCAGTTATAACAAAATACTTTAAATATGTTTCTGTTATTAAATATGAATGTTGTTAAGCAAGTTGGTATTTAATATGGCATCTCAGATACTGCCTAAGACACTGAAAAGCTTAAGTGGTCTGTTCTCTGAAGATAAATCTTGTTCATTTAATATTATTTAAAAAAACACCTACTAAAAATGTTTAAATTCAAAGAAAGTATGACTTCCTAGCCAAAGAGAGTATTTTGTATATTAACCATACATTACTTGAGGTGATCATAAAATTTTTGTTAAATATGAATTTTCTTACTGTCTCAATCACCATGAATGAAAAATTTTAGCCTTTGGACTACGGGGCTGAGAAAATTTAGTTCTTCCTATCTTTTGTACATGTTTTTCTTATCCATTTTCAAATGATAATTCATAACATTCTTCAAGCCTAGCTGTTAAAATCAAGAAAGAAATGAAATTTAAGAAGTAAAAGTTTACATCCAATATTTCATTCAAAGTAAATCTATTTGGCTTGGAATTTGACTTCAGTACATTGTAATTAATTTACTATTATAAACTATTTTTAGATTGTATTTAGGAAAGTTAATCCAAGAGTTCTTTAGTTAAACTAACTGCATGTGGTTTTGGATGCCTAGGTGTAAATGGGCAACACCTATATGATGCTCTGGAAAATATATACCTTGGAAGATAGCTTGGTGTGACCTACCAGCAGACTTCTTTTAAAAAAATATATATAGTTTATAATACTGGAATATTATACATAAAAATGATTTGATGTGCAAGAGATACAATGTGGAAATCAGAGTCCCATGTTGCCTAACTTCTCAAAGCCCAGAGTGTTTTTCTGATTCTCAGTGGGATTCTAGTCACTCCCAGGGGCTCTAATGGGCTATCCATTTTTGAGGAGGTATCAGATGCTTTTGATTTTTTCTGATTATTCATTAGTGGTTCATTAGTTGTCTTCTAACGTCACCAATTATTGTTCACATATGTTTCTACAGCAGAATTTTAGCACACCCTTTGTCTTATCTAACTTTCAATATTTCCATTTCATGTGTTCCTCATTTTCATTCTTCTTTCTTAGTCACAATGTAACCCCATTGCCACCTACTCCTTTAAGTGAAATTGCAGTTTTCCACCAGTCTTCAAGTTGGCGTGCCTTCCTGATCTGCTTTCCATTTTCTTCAGAAAATCTGGCAAGAGGAGAGGAACACACACACTCTCCATCCTTTTAAGGCTGTTTCCCCTGGAAGTGGTTCCTTACCCATATCAGGGACCTGTATGTGAAAAACAGAATCCCTAGCAACTTTGAGTTTCATGTACTTCTTTTAGAGAATTTCTGTCTTGGAAAATTGATAGAATTTTATTTAGATCAACAGAACTAGAACTAAGGAGATGAAGCAATTTTACTATAGATCCACCTGGGACATATTGGCCATTTTTGTTTGATGCCCTCTGGAAAGTTTTGTAGATGTGCATCAAACAGAGTTACCTGTGAAAAATAGATCTAGTCTTTTTATTAGAAATGGAGTTCTAGGAGAAATTCTTGTGTTGATATGTGAGTAAGTACTTATCCTAAGACAAAGTCATTTGTTAAAAGTTCTCTAAATTCCGCCCCCCCCGCCAAAAATATGACAACTCTATTGAAAAACCAGGTCAAATTAACTATGATACTACACACTTAGACTTATCATGGCATTATAACTCTTCAATAAGCAAAATATATGTATGTATGTATGTCACTGAATATAAGCTACCCATATCTTACTTATTTTGTATTCCTAGTGTCAAACATAGGACGTAATTAAATTAATAAATCTATTGGAATAATTTTTATATACAAGTAATTGACAGAGAAGGAAAATACAACTAAATTCTCTTTGGACTTCTAGTGTCTAACCTAGTGTTAAATAATATTTTTTAACTTAATGAATTATGAAATCATTGAAAAAATAAGATTCACCCCTGCTCCTTACTAACTTACGTGGAATGCCTTTATTCTATGTGAATGGTCCAGGCAATCTTCAATTTACAAACACCGCCCCTTTTAAAAGACCTTGCTGTGCAAATGGCAGCTTCTCTCCCCCACTTCAGTTGCCACAGGAACATTTGTGGGGACAAACTCCCCACAGTTGATCTAACTTCAAGTGTTAGATCTATTAGTTCAGAAGTGAAAAGAAAACATTTTTTTTTCTTTAGAAATGAGCAATTTTTAACAAGTTCTTTATTTGAAATGCCCCTTTCTCTACGGCTATATCCTTGCTGATGCCCTTTGTTTTACCCTAATAATGCTCTGCACAGAGATTCATTTGGATCATCAAAGTATCCTCTGTCTAAAATACAAAAAGTCTTTGGAAAATTTCCAGGGCTACTAGACATTTACATTTTTATATTGATTTTCCCAGACTAAGTAGATTCCTCCTTGCCTAAGAGAGTGCACGTTTGAGTTTTAAGGGAGAGAAGTTGTTTTTGGAGAACGGAATAGGTCTTTGGTCAGATATTCCTGTGGAGGCCAAAAGTATAATGAAGGCACAAAGATTTTGGAAAGAAGGGCTTGATAACATGGGATTTGGTCCTATGGGGAAAGTCCCAAAGACATTTGTTTTAGATGAATAACTTAAATATTAGCTTGCTTTTGCAATACAGCTATTTTTCACTTTAATTATTTGTATTTACACTGCTCGAGAGGCTATGCTCAGAGATGTTTGAGCTAGTCCGTAACATTCCTACTCCTGTCAACAACTCAGAAATCCTGTGGCACAAATTCAGTTCAACATAAGTAAGTATTGCTTTTAAGCTGAATACTTTTTTTTTTAATTCAAGATGTGCAAATGTTTCAACGAAGTTAGAAGTAGATTGGGAATTTAGTTGCAGTTGTGCAATAATAAGTCATATGTCTAATTTAATGTATTTAGGAATTTTTTCCATGTTCAGTTTGCCAGCAGTCCCCAGGCCTGGTTCTGATCATGTATGCATTTTAATGTGTGCAGGGATAGTAGAGTTTAAAACATGGACTTTGGAGCTGAACTGGCTTATTTTGAATTCCATCTCCACCACTGCTCTGTGGCCTGGAGCAAGTTACCCAAACTTCTCAGGCCATATAAAATGGGAATAATAAAATTACCTGATTTGTGGAATTGTTATGAGGATTAAGGAATTTAATGTATGTGAAGTTTTTAAAGCAGTTCCTAGCAGACGAGAATCAATCAATAAAGGTTAGGCGTCAGCTTTTATAATGGTAAAAAATGAATTTTTCCTCTAATTGGCCTTCTTTCCAAATTTAATTAGGGTTTTATTTTATTTTTCCAGTTTTATGGAAGCAACACCAAACCTACCTGAGTTTTTTTTTTTTTTCAAATAATTCAGTAGAACAGTAGTCAAAATAACCAGTAAAATCTATCAGCAATAATAAAACCTGCCAAACAGATTACTTTTCCCTGATGGGGCTGCTGACCAGTGTTATGGTCCTTATAAACTCACAGTAGGTTTATCCTGTGGATGATTTTTTTTCCCCTTGCAAACTTGGTTTTGATTAATTTAAAATGCTATTCTTAAGTATGTTTTGTACTTTTATGCAGCATAAAAATAAATTCCGTTTCTCCATGTGCCAATGTTTTATGTCATCTTCATCATAGTAGAGGTTAAACCCTCTCAGATACTTTTGATGTCCTAGATTTTGCAGATAATTAATATTTTGCAAGTGAAGGGATAATTAACAGGGAATTTGATTTTATTTGAAATAAGTCAGTAAGCAAATAGTTATTTAATTTCTACTTGATTCACAGAATTGTAAAAAATAAATGACACACACACACAACGTAGAAAATACGGACCATGTTTTCAAGGAGTCTAAATCCAAATGATAAATACAGACTAATCGAGAAAGGACTTGGAGAAAACTTTAGTTATGAATGAGTGATCAGTGATATAGGCACTACTGTAGCATTTCAATAGGAAGAGACATCAGGAGAAAGTGGAATAATAAGGAAGGGGCAGTGTTGGAAAATTTTGTTATATTGACTCATACATGGAAAAGGAAGAAAATCTTGTTCCCAGGAGAAAAGAACAGTGGGATTTGTTGAAAGGCAGTGAGTCCAATCTGAAAATGGATAAAGAAGGATGACAGGAGAGCTAGAGATTAATGTGGATCCTCTGAAAACAAGAAGAGAAAAATTCTAACACTTCAGAGAGCCAGAATGTTGTTCCCTCATGTCTAGCTAACACCGGAAGTCCTTGGATTAGAATTACAAATGATACTCTTTTAGCAAGACATTAAATGTTTCAGCATTTCTTTTCTCCCTGGATTTACAATCAGCCATTCTTTGTCTCTTTTAAAAATGACATTTTCCCTTTTCTCAGCCTTTCCTTATGCTAAGCTTGCTCCTATGTGAAAAGCCCACCCTTTCTTCATTGTCTCCATAGAGATCACATAGTTCTTTTCATTTTTCCTGTTGAGTTTCAGGAACAAATCTCTAGCCAGTAGTCTGAAGTAGTATTTCAGACCAGCAAATTTGGCTCGGTGGAAGTACCCTTAGCTGATTCATAATCACTGGTGTTCTGTGTGAATGATCTTTTGAGGAAAATAGTGAAGAACTATTGAATTGAAAATCAGTTGCCTCTAGGCAGGGATTTATTGATACTGATGGCCAAGACTTCATGTTTTTTGATAAGATGCCCCCTGTGGACATCATGGACTCAGCAATAGGGGACATATTATATTATTTTTGAAGTATTTCTTAGAATTAAATTATAAAACACTCTCACCTCACAAAAAATGTTGCTTTCATTGTTTTTTTGTCAAGGGTGGTGACCATCTGTGTGGTCAGTACTGGCCATTGTGCCATAGTCTAGAGTTCCACGGAGTGTGCCAGGGCTCACTGTTCTTTGAAGATCTCTGGTTTGTGAGGGCAAAGGTCATTTCTCTGGTGTTACATGTGCTGAAAGACTGTCAGAGTTGGGCAGAATTGTTTGGGTTGGGCCTCACTCTCATAAAAGTATTCAAGTTATAGAATCTTAGCAAGTTTGAATGAGATTATCAATATAGGCAAAGAGACACCTTGACTGGATTGAAAGAAATGACTGTTCTGCAGCTTTAAACTTGAGTCCCACATGTAAGATCACATGGCTTGTGGACTGTTTTTTTAAAAATAATTTTGAATTGAATTGTTTCATAGACCATTGATATCCACAGTATAACATTTAGAATAGAGGTAAATCTGTAATCTTATGAGTGAAATATTGCTATCATTTAAAATGTATTTGCTATGGCACCTCACCGTTTTTTAGAATTCTAAAGATGTATCCTGTTATAACTATTAACACTTTACATCACTGAGATTTACTTTACCTGTTATACCCATTCTCACACAAATAAATCATTGTACATTTGACATACCAAAAAAACCTTTATTTGTTAAGGTGGGCATTTAAAATATGGCATTGTTTTTTCTGACCTGTATTTTAGGACATCTGCTTGTTTGTTTGATAATAGAATTGGTGTTGGACCCTGATGGGCTCTGACTGTACCAATATGGTTGGTTGTTTTGTATTATAGAAGTCTTGTTCCTCCCTAGGGTGACCCTGGACAGACTGGGAGCCCTGGCTACCCTGGACAGCCTGGTCAAGATGGTAAGCCTGTGAGTACTGAAAGCTTAGTCATCTCCAGTACTGGGATTGCAGTGTCAAAGTTAAAATTTCACTGGGCAAAATTAAACAGGTAATGAAGACTCTATTTTAAGGCTGCTATAATAGGGGAAGGAGATTGAGGTCAATTTAGCTGAAACAAAAGGAGGGTGGGTTCTTTTTTGAGTGTGGGGTGAGCTAGTGGAAAAGTGCTAGAAAACTTTACAGGGGAGGTCGATCAATGGGATGGAGCAAATTAAGTTATCCTCAGCTTGCTAATGTTTTCTACTGAAAAAGTAAGCCATCTGTGTTTGCCAAGTGGCACCCATGGAAGTTGGGGTTCTACCCTCCCACAGAGACTGGGAGGTCTGGACACTTACCTTTTTTGAAGACTACATTTTAAAAGGATGATTCCAAGGTTCTTGAGAAAGACTTTTATTGCTAGTTGTAAAGCTAGTGACGTTTTTAAAAAGATTTACAACTCAAAGGGGACAGAAAAAGAATTTACAATGACAAAGTTTCTAAAGTAAATGTTCTCAGAGAAGGGAGATCAGAGCTTAGTCAGGAAGAAGCCTGTCTAAAATTTAGTCAAACTGAGGGGAACATTAAGGCTAGTTTGGTCTATGGAATTAGCATTCTAGTCACTTTCTAGGTATTTTACTTCAAAACTGTGAATATCTTTGCTATGCTTTAAAAAATTGTCCATTGAATTCTTAGTATCAACAAATAGCTGTTTGGGAAATCTTTCTATATTTTTCCTTCACATCTATGGAAATGTTCAAGTGTTGACTAAAAAAAGAGATAAATTGTGTCATGCTCAAAATTGTCAAAAATATGTGTTTATTTGTGGATAGCCGAGGAATTGCAATTTGGGCACACAAACTGTAAGCTACAGGTGACTCCATTGAGGGTTTGGTGTGGGCTGGATTTGTGGAGAAGGAATGTAAAGAGGGGAGAGTTCAGTTTGAGTCTGTTAAAATCATGAGCTAATAAGACCAGCTTTGAAAATACCCCAAGTGGACAAAACCAGTCCAGGTACACAGGCAAAACTCAATCCAGCTAATTTCTGTTCTTGCCTCTGAGAATCATAAGCAAAAACCCCAAAGGTTGATATGAGGTAACCCCTGACCAATTCCCTGTCATTTAAGAAAGTGCTGACATCCTCAGTTTTCTGTAAATCAGGGAGATCAGTTTCTGAGTCCTTTAAGTTTTGTTTTTCTGAGGGCACATGAGTGAGATTTTCCACTTTATATCCTCCAGTTCCATTTTAGAGTGAAATTCTTTTACAAAATTAAAACTCTTCTTAAAGGTTACATTATTTTCCTAAGAATGCATATACTGGTATACACTTAAAATCTGCCTAAAAATGATATTCTCTAAGGTTCGAGAGAATTTAAGGGACATTTGTCAATTAAACATAAAGCAGATCTACTTTAAAGCATTTTTGGCAAATTTTACAGGTAAGTTCCTATCAGAATGTTTATAACAGTAAATAAACATTAGGAATTAGCTTTGAATGTTAGGAACAGTAAATAAACATTAGGAATTAGCTTTTGAATTGTCACCAAAAAAGTATCTCTTAAGAGACTTTCTTTATCATTAGACATTAACCATTGCCATGAAGGATGGGAAGGTTTATATTTTGAGCCATCCATGTTTGAGCAGTTAAAGAACCACAGGTGTAATGGTAAACCATTGATACTGCATTGGGATGGAAGAGGAGCTTGTTATGCCCTGAGAGAGGTGCTGACAAATTTAATATAAAAAATATAGCCAAATTTTGAAGAGTAGTGATGTTTTGGGTCTATTCATATCAGTGTTGGGTCAGTCTCCAGAGAGAGATCATCAAAGCAGGAGGGCAACTAGTGCTGCAGCAAGCTGAGGAGCCGGGGTTGGGGCTGAGGAGTGGGGTGATGGTTGTTGAGGAGTAGAGTAATTGAGGCTGAGCAGCCGGATGATTAGGACAGTGAGGCTCAACTAACCCAGCAGAGTTCATTCTAAATATACTGGTGATCTATTTAGGGATTTTAAGAAGGAAAGTGATTTAATCTGCCTTACTTTTCAGAAAGAGAAATACACAGGTTTGGGCAAAAGTAGGTTTCCAGTTTGCGTGGAAAAGAATATAATAATTAATAAATACTAATACAAGAATAAACTCTGTGTTCTGTGTACTCACAACTGTAAACCTACTTTGCCCTGTCCTGTAAATATTGTGTGGAGAGTACATATGGGGCAAGAGTGGAAGTAGGAGACCAGGTAGGAGGTTATTTCAGGGTTTGAGAAGTCAGAGTGGCTTGAACTAGGGCAATGTGGTGGCAAGGAAGAGAAGTGGTCAGGATCTGAATTATTTTTTAGTGTGAAATTGATCAGAATTTCTGTTAAATTAGATATGAAGCATGAGAAAAAAAGTCAAGGGAGACTTAGAGGATCTTAGCTTGAGCAACTGGATGAATCGTGGTGCCATTTACTGAGCTGGACAATACTGGGGGAGATGTCAGTTTTGTGGACGAAATCAAGAATTCATTTTTGTACCTGCTGAAGGTGTCTCCTAGAAAACCATAGATAGGAATGTTGAGTTCAGGGATATGTTTGAGAATGAAAGTACACAGTTAGGACTTTTTAGCATGTAGATGTATCTAAAGCCACCAAAGTGGATGAGATTATTTAGGGAACAAGTACAAATAACTGGAGAAGAGAAGGTGGCAGTGGGCTGAACTTAGGGCTCTCTTACAGAAAATAAAGAGAGGATACAACCAAGGAAATTAGGAAAGAATAATCAGTGAAGTTGGAGGAATACCAGGAGAGTGTCATTCTAGGAGACAAGTGAAGAAAGCATTTCAAGAAGGGAGTGATCAGCTGTGTCATTGTTGTTAACAGGTTGAGAAAAATGAGATCTATGCCTAGACCAGTGGATTTGCTGTGTGGACGTAATTGAGGACTTGATAAATGGGGCTTCAGGGACGGGCAGTACAAAAGCTGGATTGAAATGGGTTCAAGAGAGAGTTGACAAAGGGGCAATAAAATGGTGACAGTGAATATAGATACTTGTTTTGAGGGACATAATGAGGAGCAGGGAAATGGAATAATAGCATGGGGAGGATGTGGGTAAAAAAGGATTTTAAAAAGATGGGAGATGTTATAGCATTTTCTATGATGAAGAAAATGAAGAAGGGGAAAATTTATGATTTGGGATATTGAGATATTTTCAGAAAGAAAACCCTTTTTAGTTTGGGAAAGCATTGGTTCCAGCCATAAGAAGAGAGTTTGTCCTGACTAAGAATATGGGTAGTTAAATTTTATGGGCTAGAGTGCCATGCCAATAAGTAGAGAAATTGTTAGGCGATGTATTTCAGGATATAGGATGATAAATTTATTATCAGACTGCTTCTATTTTGAATTGAATGAAATGAACACCTGCCCTTTGCCTTTTTCCTTAACTCCTGTAATCTCCCAACATTAGCCTTGTAGTTTCTCTTATGATCCATCCCTTGCTCACTAATTTAAAGGGTCATGTGAATTCATTACATTCCCTAACTGTAACTTCTAATCACACTAAAGATAAGCCTAAGGTCCTACATGATTTCTGACCTAATCGCTGACTGTGATAAATTTTAAAAATATGAGTCTTTCATTGCCTGAGACCTCTTCCCTGGGACATATTCTTTCTATTCCTGACAGCTTCATGCTGTCCTGAGTCCATGCTGAAGTGTCGCCTGCTGGCACCTCACAGTGATACAGAGCTTTCTTGACAATGCTGCTAAATTATTTAGGCTTTTGTTTTTCAGTGGTTTAAAGTCCTGGGCAATATTTGGAGCGAGTGCCAAGCAGATCTTCCATAGACTATGAGTGCTTGTTTGCTTCATGTTTTTCCTTTCTTAATAACTTGCCATGAATGAAGTACTGAAAATTTGTTTTATTTAACCTGATACAATAATCACAGATATTACTCTGACTCTCATTTAACCTACAATAGACTTATTGTCTTATCTCCTTTAGTACTTGTATATATTTTTGTGTTTGTATATATGATTTTATGTATTGATATAGCTATACAGAATTTGACATGAGATGTCAGAAAATGTTAGATGTTAGATTGTATTAAATGGTATCTGGTGTTAAAGAAAGAACAAAGCAACTGTGGTAGCTAGAAAACCTTCCATGGCAAAAGGGACTTTGCTCACATGATTAAGGATCTTGAGGTGCAGGGATTATCCTGGTTTAGCTGAATAGCCCAGTGTGATCACAAGAGTCCTTATAAATGGGAAGCAGGAATATCAGAGTCAGAGAAGAAGTGATGATCGAAGCAGTGATCAAAGTGAGGCAGCCTCTAGAAGTTGGAAGAGGGAACAGATTTTCCCCTAGACCCTCTAAAAGGAACATAGCCCCCCCCAACACTATGGGTTTAGCTCCCCAAGACCCATTTTGGGGCTCATATTTGCAGAACTGTAAGTTAGCTTTCTATGCTTGGGGTAATTTGGTAAAGCAGCAATAGAAAACTGATACACTACACCAAACCCTATTTACCCAGAGATATGACTTTTTTCCTTAACTATCCTCCTGTCCCCCTGTTTCTTTCTCTCTGCAGGAGATAGGAGATTGGGTGGCCAGGCAGGAAGAGAAAGTGAGCCTGGAAGCCAGAACAGCTGAGGGTCATTAGTTTTTGTCCAGGGCCAGCACATAGTGGGAGTGGGAAGATGTGGGTGGAGCCTCTGGCTGGCAATTGAAGCCATCTGGACCAAGGAAACTTGGATGGAACAATTCGAAGGGAATTCTGCTTTGTTTGGATTTAGTTCTGTGCACCCCCCCTCAATAAGCAATTTGAGTCTCTTTCTCATTATAACCAGGCCAAGTCAACCAGAGCTTTAAATAGTAAATTATTCCACTTTGGAGAAATACTAATTTTCATAAGGAAAATGCCTTCAGCTAAAATTAAAGAATCATTTAAAAACCCTTCCACTCCTTTCTCGTTTCTCTATCAGTTAAATAACTTCTATCAGCACAGTGGCTGAACATA